ATTTCTAGGCATGTTTTTATATGTTGTGTGTCATAAATAGTTCAGGAAATTGGATTTTTTCTTTATCATTTTAAATACATAGKATTTAAGTTGGATTTTTCTTTCACTAAACATAATGTTTTGAACTACCTATGTGGATAGGTTAGATTAAGTTCATGAATTCTAATTGCTAAATAGTTAGCATATATTTACTGCTTCCTTAATGAAGGATAGGTTGCTTAATTTTTTTGTATTAAGGAGTGGTATGATATCTTTATGTAATTTTGCACAAAAGTCATATGATAATGACCTAAAAATGGAATTGCTGAATCTTTGGTTTTGCATATATTAACTCCTACTCAACATTGCCAAATGCCACGCTAGAATTTATACTCTCAATAGAATTATTTAAAATTTGTTTCTATGCCTTTTCCAAATATTGGAATTGGCAGGCCTTTAAATTTTGGACAATCTAATGGATGTAAAATAGTATCCCATTATGGTATTGATTTGGGTATTTTAATTTAAAATAATTCCCTTTACTATAAAATCTTTCAATCTTCTGCCTAATTTTTTTTTGGATTGTATATGTTTTTTTCACGGAATGATATATTTTTATTTTGTATATAAATCTTTTTCAGTTACATAGGTGTCAATATCTCTCTCTCATAAGTTGCCTTTTTTTTGCATCTGTGATGTCTGTACTGCTGAAGTTTTAACTTTTATGTCAAATTTACTATTTATTTTCTTTTTTGTATTTTATTTAAGAAATTATTCCTTCCTCTATATCATAAATCATTATTTAGTTTCTCATACTAGTTTCAAATTTTGCTTTGTATATTTAGGTCTTTCATTCATCAGGAATTTATTTTTATCTGTGCCATGAAATAGGTTTCTAGTTTTCCCTCCTTATGAATAGCCAGCAGTATCTGCTTCTGCTATTAAATAATATATCTCTTCTCATTGCAACCTGTAGCACTTATCAAGTTCCAAATGTACATGTGTTTGTACCTACGATTTCTGTTTTCAGTATTGAGAATTAATTGAACCCAAGGGAATTCTGCCACTGACCTACATTTCCAGTTCTTTTAAAAACGTCTTTTATTTTGGGACAGAGTATCACTAAGTTGCTCAGGCTGGCCTCAAAGTTGCTATCCTCCTGCTTTCGCCTCCCACTTAGCTAAGACATGTGCCATGATGCCTGTCTAGGATTTTTGATTTACTTACATTTATGTATTTGTTGACATGTGACACTGTTCAAAATTGTTTTAGTTATTGGATCTTTAAAATAAAATATCCTTTTTCTACTTGTATTAAAAACAGTCTGAACTTTTCATGGGTCTTAAGCTGTTCTTATGAATTTTAGGATCCATTAATCAAATTCTATTTTAAAAATTCTATTACAATTTCATTTGAATTAGATTATGGAGAATTTATATACATTAGATTTATGGGGTATTTAAGTAATGTGTAGTTTCCATAGACCAAAATTATTATTATGGTTTTGTATGTATAAAATTTTCAGATTCATTCTTTACATCAAATGAACTGATTACACGCTTTCTGCTTTTTTGTATTACCTCCTTCAAATCACAGTTCCATCTGCCTTTGGAATTCTTTTAGGGAGTATTATGAATGCTAATTAGGATTCTTCCTCTTTGTCTGAATATTTATTTTGCGTCACTCTTTGTAGTTTGTACCTAGATCTCTTCAGTGGTGAAGAACTTACATCTTGAGTGCAGGGAGTAGARCAAGCAGTCACTACTCAGCTGTCAGCCTCTTTGGGAATATTCTAGCCCTGGGTCTCACCCTTTTCCTTTGGTAGTCCTCATCCAATGACTGTCACCGGTATACAAAGACCTCATTCTTTTCCCTAAATTAAGACAATTACAAAGGGACATCTCAAAAGCAAAACTGAGTCCTTTGTTGAGGTGCTTTGAAGGTTAACTCTTATCTCTGTCTAATCTTTCCATTATCCTTTCCACATATGTTGTTCCCAAATGCCTTCCCAAACACACTCCTGAGACCTATCTCTAAGAATATGCTTCCTGGGAAAGCCAACCTAAGCCACCCAGTGTGTGCCAGGACCGGTTTGAGAAAGCAGGAACTCAGATGGAATTTATGATTGGAATCATAGACCTACCTGACTGCCACTGAGGACCTGCTCACTGTGACAGGCGTTAAGACTGGTAGACCTTGGAATAAGGCCGAAGGGCCATAGTTAACACTTTGTCAGTAAAAACCTGAAGGGTGTTCTAATGAAAGTAACATAGTAGTGAGTATAACGTATCAGGCATTTGAGAAATATGAGGGAAACAGTAACCTTAGGAACAGTGGCATTGACTATTCAGTAAAATTGATCCTTCGGAAATAGTGAAAAGCTGAGAGTAGTTAATTGGCTATTAAAATCTAAGAATAAACTGGAGAAGGCCTATTTGATAGCAAATAAAGAGGCCTTTATCATGCAGTAGGAAAGCAGGAAAAAAAAATGAGGAATGGGCCCAATGTGTAATCATAAGTGTGGCAGGGCTCCAAAGGAGATTAACCGTGAAATACAGCTAGGTGCGCTATGCCAAGCTCAGGGAGCTGGATAAGAGAGAAAAAGACTTCSATGCAATTGGCTGGGTAGTAACACCTGAAAATCTTAAAGTTCTAGTTTCTCCTGAACTCTCTGAGCCTGAATATAGTTTCCCATTTCTGATTAACGGCTAGAGTCCCCCCACCCCTCTGCTTGAAAACCATGCAGAARCCTCCACTTTATGATATGAACTGTGCCTCTTTCAGAGTCCGCCCAAGTTCTCCTCGTGGTCATTAGGTCTACGGTTCAGGTAGTTAGAGTTAATTACAACATGGCCTGCCAAAAATATTGTCACGGGTGGCAAAAACTGTGCAGCAACAAGGGAGTTCTCTTAGAAGATTAAGGAGATGGATAATATGATATGGTGTTTCCAAGAACAAGATAGATTGGCAGCAAATAATGATACTGCTCAAWCAGTACAATCAAAAGAAATCAAAGAGGGCATTATCAGCAAATTAAGGGAATACCYCAAGAAGGAGTCATAATTCCTTGTSTAGTTTCTATGTCTGAGCCAGTTTGAATCTAGAATCTATCAAAAGAGAAAAGTCTAGGTTCCAAGAAGAAGGCACTGAAATATTATAAAAGGTATACAGAGTAATAGTTACCTCAGTTTTTCCCAAGAGGATTCTTTGCAATTTCTCTGGCTACCTATGCCTCGGGAAAGGTGGAACATCAAATATTTTTCTATAGTGACAAACAGAAATCCMTCTGTCTTAAGCATTACATTATAGAGTTCGAAAACTTAAAAATAGTTTCACTCTTCTATTTTGTCTGGGAAACTGGTTATTTTTTTCATGCAACTATTATTCATATTAACATGTAATATGCTTACTAGTACTATTTTTAATGAATTAGGAAATATTTTTAAATTTTATCAATTAGATTTCTTAAATGGTAAATAGCAATCCATATAATCCACACAAACAATAACTTTTTAGGGTCCTAAAAAGTTTTTACAAATTTTTAAGGATTCCTGAGACTAGAAAGTTAGAAAACTTCTGTGCTAGGTGATAAYACAAGCCAAACTAGTTGTTTAATCTTGGGGCAAATTGTATAGTCTCTCTGCCTGAATTTCTTTATGAGTAAAATTAGGAGTTAATGTTACACTTGTAAAGTGCTTAGAATGCCAGGAGTAAAAAAGTTGTTACACGCTAATTGTTATTCATATTCAACCTATTTTCTCTGTGAAACAGGAGTGGTAATAACTTCTAAAACTGACAAAAGAAGAGGTAGAAGGTTGAGGAAAGGAAGACAAGTTGATACAGCCATTGTGGCTAACTGGAAATGTTAGAGCTGATTATATAGAAGGATTGAAAGGCAGTTTTGAGAGGCTTGTTGAGTCTGGTGACCATGAATTTAGAGTAAATCATGATTGTGTGACACGCCCCTCCCCCCAACACTCAGAAATTCAGTGCAGWAAAGGAAAGCTGTTGAATCACCAGAATTGGGAATGTTACTCTTGGTTGGATCAGAAAGAAAGCATGACAAACTGAACGAAGTGGTGAACTGTGTTTAATAAAGTGGGAGTAAGTAATAAAGTGAGAAGAATGGAAGAAAGCAGGTAGTTGATTACTGGTGTAGCGTAATGGAGGTAAGGGCTACTGCAGATGAAGAAATCACGATCCAAGAGGATGGGTCTTCCCTCTAACACAKGAATGTGACCAAGAATGAGAGCAGAAGTTGACAGGCAGGTTCCAAAGTCTTCCCTCAGTAAGGGGTGGGTATAAAACACCGAAGAAGAATCTAAGGTGGCAAGCCAGGTAGAAAGCAGTCATTGTCTGATGGCTGTGAAGTTCAATTTGTTGGGAGAGGACAGCCAGGTTTCAGTCAACCCATTAAGTCCCAGGTTTTCAGTTCTCTGTAGGACGGTGGGACATAACGGGTTAAAGACAGGGGGCAGAGCACACAYCAGAAGCAGAGAATGGGAGAGAATTTGTTCTAAAGGAATGGAATCCAGAAGGCATAATGGAAATCAGAGACCAAGGAGGGTCAGTTAGGACTTCTTCAAGACTCTGAAGGYAAAGCTTCTGTAGCTACCTATGAAAGAGGGGATGTGGGGCGTGGAAGATTTCTGTATTAGAAAGGTTTCCAAAAGAATTATGCAAGGATTTGCCGTTTGAGCAAAATCGTTTCCCTATTCCTTTTAGACTTTTTCCTGTGAGTTCTTATTTGTCCACCTTTGTGTGTCCCTTCCCTCTAGATTTTTCTTTTTTTCTGAAAGAAAAAAAAATAAAATTAAAGACATCTTCTGTCCCCCTCCCTGCCTTCTGCTTCCCTAATGTCCCTCTTCTCCCTGGCCTCCCTTTGCCTCTTACARGCCCCAGTTTGGGAATGAGTGGGCGGGACCAGGGCGGAGCGAACAGAAGTGGGCGGGCCCTTCTCCGTCGACGCGGCCCGTCAGGACGCTGTGACGTAAGAGGACATCCGGTCTTTCCCCTAGTGTCCGAAGCCGGCTGTCTCCGCCTTCCCGGGTCTCCGTGCCCTTTTCCCCTGAGTCCTGGTCCACGAGTTGGATTTGCTGCCGCCGGGAGCCAGCCTCACGCCGTTCCGTGTCCCTCGGCCCCCGAAGAGCGCCGGCCTCCCCGCGAGGGTGAGCGAAGCCGGCCGGGCGTGCGCGGTGGGGTGTCCCGCGCGGGTGGCGGTCGGCGGTTCCCGAGCCTCGTGGCGCCTCGGCGGTCTCTGGACGCCGCCTCCACCCACCGGGTGCTCTGGCTCCAGGCCTTGCTCGCCAAGCCTCGGAGACTCTGCGCAGGTGGCCTCCCTGGGTGACCCGGCGGAGTCCGGAAGTTAGTGGAGAGGGCGTGGACCCGTTTAAGGCTGTGACGAGGCGTTCGCTCCTCAGTGGCCCGAACAAGTTGGAGGGAAAAAAAAAAAAATGAGGCTCAGTTTTGTCATTGAGTTCGAAAGCCCTCCCTGACTGGGCACGCAGACATTCGTCCTCATGATCACCGCGTGATTACTCTCTGACCTCTGGGCAGGGCACTGCGCCGTTTAGAGATCTATCTATGTCTGTGAAAAGTGCCCTGGTGGCTTGGACGTTAATTAAGTAACCACCGTTAACTCTATTGGCCAGTCTGCCCATAGTGGAGAGTCTGTACCGTTTTGCTTACTGCTTGGTTTTGATTGGATGTTCCATAATGAAAACTAGTTCGGAAGTTTTCCTAAGTGAAGGAAGGCCAGTTTTGAAGGCCTTACTTTGACAAATATGGTAAACATGTGTAGTGTTGAAACATAAATTTGAACCCCGTTAAAATTATATGTTTACTGTTTGTAAAGAGAAGATAACTAGAACAACTGCCAAAGAAATTGTGGTACATATGTTTAATATCTTTTCAGACCGGTTTGAATTTATAGTTAATGGTGGCATTTGATTTGATGTTTTATTTAGATACCATGAAGTAAGACATTGTACTTAATGTCTTGGCAGACTTAGGTCATCTGTGTAGTTCAAAAAGTGATTTAGATTGGGTTCAAATGTGCTTTTAAATGATTTCTTGTTCTATATTTCATTGAATTTTTTTTTTAATGAGAAACAAGTTTCTTAACATCAGACCAACTTTTTTTTTTTTTTTTTGGTGGGCAATAAAACTACTTGGCTCTTAGCATAATTTCTTTTGATGTTTATGTATTTTAGAATTGTTTGGTAGTACAACTAAGTACCTTATTTTAAAGACACTTTTGGGAGGAATGTGTGCTTAATATTTCATGGTCCCCAAATAAGAGTTTAGTTTAAAATTTAACAACAATAAGAACACTTTGTTTTACTGTTTTTGAGTTTATTAAAATAGTAAGTGTAACTAGGCAATTATATCTTTTCTGTTCTCTTGTGTAGAAAGAGGAGAAAATGCCAAAAAAAAAGACTGGTGCAAGGAAGAAGGCTGAAAACCGCCGAGAACGWGAAAAACAACTAAGAGCATCAAGAAGCACTGTAGATTTAGCTAAACACCCATGTAATGCTTCAATGGTAACACTTTTTTCCCCTAAACTATGTCATGTTTTATCTGAAATACACCTGAAGAAATKTTAATAGTGTTCCCCCATTTATTTTATTGATGAGTCTGAAACTTATTCTAGAGACATGTCTCCTTATTTTCACAAACACTGAGTAGCAGTGATTTTTTTATTTTATTTTATATTACATAGAAAACCTAGACTATTAACTTGGATATCGTTGGTGATAGATACTGAACAAAAATAGATAACAGGAGCTGTTTACAATTTTCCAGTTGCTGTAGCCTTATGTTCCATAACTCTGTTTGTTGTAGTTGGATTTTCGTCTTTTTCACTTAGCAATTTTTAATTCATTTGACTTATTTTTTCTCTCAACAACTTTCCAACATCTCTTTGTGTTCCTGTTCTGCTGCCTTATTAGTTGTGCTGCATGGATTAGTCTTAATAAATTCTGGCTGCTTTGAATGGTGAAAGTTGTAAAAAAGCAAAGGATTATGTCATCATTACCTTTTTCCTTTATTTGATCATGTTTCTTTGAGTTATCTCATTTCTTCTCACTTCCATGCTTCTCTACTTTTTCTATTCCTACTGTTATTCATTTTTCCCTTTTTTTGTTTTATCAAAGATGCATGAAATGACTTAATTAATGACTTAATTTAGCAAATATTTTGTGCCGTACTATTTTATATACTGTGGGGGATACATAGATGAATGACATGTTTCCTGTTTCCACAAGCTTATAGTTCAGTTGTGTTGYGTACTACTCAGGACAGGACTTGCTTATTTATAAATAACAAATATAACTTAAATAGCCTTGGAAAAATAGTTTATTGAATGGATGATGGAATAATTCATGTAGCTATGAAGGGGAAGGATATAGCTGGGGCTCATGGACAAATGAAACCTAGGACAACTTGTAGTTGCTTTTTGCATTTGTTTGTTTTTGCTTATTCCATTTTCTCACACTTTCTTAGTTTATTTATTTAACTTCGCAGTTACAGATAGGTTGCATATATCATATTTTGTTGAGCTCAGAAGGAAAGAACTCTTTCCTTATTATAGTAAATAGATACTACAGGAAATTGTATGTAGGTTGGTGCTGAGCCAGTACCCATCCCAGGACTAACATATATGGTGAGGGGGATAGGAGTTAGGAGCAAAATTAAATAGCACAGGTATGACAGTGGGATTCCCTTCTGAGTGTCAAAGTCCTTTCCAGAGCAAAACAATAATAGCATACATAAATACATGCAATGAGTGCTATATCTGGATAATGTTTCAGTAAAGGTACAGTGTAATTCTTAGGACTTTAGATGTGATAAAATTGTGTGTGGGTGGGTGCATTTCACAGAGAAGGTGGAATTATARCCCAAACTTCCAAAAAGTAGAGATTTAATGAATAGTGTTGAATAAGTAAAGCCCCGGAGAGGGGAGAGTACAAGACATATTTGGGGAAAGGCTAATAATAGTAACTTGAGTGTTAAAAGTTAACAAGCCTGAAAAGTGGTTAAGGATCAGATTGTGGTGAGCATTTAAAGCCATGTTAAAATATAGATATTCTGTGGTCTTTATTATTTTTGCATTCTTCCTTTCTTGTGTCCATTCTGTAATATTTAATTTCTTAAACAATCAAAAAAGAAACCACCATAGTATTTAGCCTCTTTAATGATAATGCCACTTCCTCTTCTAGTGTGTTATGCCCAGAATATACATTTGTTGTGTGTCTTTGTTTTCTGATTAGGTATAGACGCTTGTGTGCCTGGGTGGAGTTGGAGGATTTGGGGTTGTGCTACTTAAATTTTAACACAGAAAACTAGAGATTCTTTATAATGTAAGTAAATTTGCACTTTTCAGCAACAGAAAAATTAATGTTATGTTTTTACATCTTATAGGAATGTGACAAGTGTCAGAGGTAAACTTTCTTTTTTTCCCCTATCTACATAAATTAAAAGAGTCCCTCTGATGTTTTTTCTGAAATATTTACCATATTTAAATTTTTTTTATTTTACATGACAAGGCGGCAGAAGAATAGAGCATTTTGCTATTTTTGTAATTCTGTACAGAAGTTGCCAATATGTGCACAGTGTGGTAAGTATATAACTACAAATGCCTWCCTTTTATCAAAATGTGTGTGGCAGTTAATCAGCTTGAAAACCTATATGTTCATTGTTATTGCTTACRTTAAGGTAAATGCCTTACCATTACAAAGTGTTACTTACAAAATGTTATTTGGTCTACCAAAAAACTTCAAGTGTTAGTTTTGCCTCTTTGATATACTGTCGGAAAATAGTGAAGGTAAAAATCTAGAAATAGGGCTGGAAATATAGCTTCCATGAACCAGGGCCCTGGGTTCAATCCCCAGCACCACAGGGGGGGAAAAATCTAGAAATAGTTTATCAGCAAGTTGTTTTAAAAATTAAAAGATCAGATTCTAGCTTAATATAATCTTAAATTTTTAATTATACAAACCTTAGTCGTGTCAATATTCATATTTTCTCTGTTTTGAATTTTGATTCCTGCTGATAGTCTCTATGGTTTCTTAAAACTATTGGGGATAATTTTATTCCACATGTACCCGTTTCTTACTTTCATCAGTTCTTTTCCTGTTTGATATTTACATGTTATTTTTTAGTTTCCTGAAATGTATTCCCAAATGCTTGAAATAAGAGTTTTTAAGTCACATACTGTTTCCAATTATTGGTGGAAACTTTTACCCTGAAATAATTATTCAGAATAAAATTGATTATTTATGTTAAAAGTACTGAAGATRCACAATAAAGAAGCCCGATCAACTTTATTAACTTCAGATTTACTCCTCCAACTTTATTTGAACAATATCCTTTTATTCATGAGATGCTGGGACAATTTGAGATGTGCTCCTATATGTGTATAAGTTYGATAATATTGCAGAAAGTTGGTAGTGCTTCAGCTACATCTCTGAAAATTTTAGTGTAGTTCTAGCTATCAAAGAAGACATCCCTTCAGTTCTGCATTTAATGAAAAAGAAAACTGACCTGGTTGGAACACTCTTTTGCTTGGTTTTATGTCATTACTTTATAAAGGTATTTCTWTTTATTTATTTATGTATTTATTTTAGTTGTTGATAGACCTTTATTTATTTATACATGCCTCACACATGCCAGGCAAGTGCGCTACCGCTGAGCCACAGCCTCAGCCCTTTTGTCATTACTTTATAAAAGACAGTAGAAGGAAAAAATATTTTGTGGAAGGTTAAAAGGTAAAGTCTCCCCATATTTTTAGTGCCTCTAGGCTTGGATTGGGTAAGAGCTGTACTTGGGTGCATTTTCTACTTACTGATTCTTCTTAGTGTTAGATATCTAAAAGTTGGGTAGCTGCTGCCTGCCTCATTTCCAGTTTCTCTTTCTTCCCATTTCCTGTTGTCTAACTTTGTTTCCCAGGAAATCATGATGATAGAAAATTGAGCATTTTCTATTTGTCTTGTTTTCCACTTTGTTGAATCTTGTTGGGTGATCAGTATATTATCTTTAATGTTTGCATTGTTTCTGATAAGCAGATTTCCTGATAATGTTTGGATTGGTAATTTGCTGTTAGATCAGAACTTTTGTGAGTGTTGTGATTTTTTAGTTGTAACACTATATTCTTGGTTTATGTGCTCATTTGGGTATGATTTAAGCTTCAAACTAGACTTTTTTTAAAAAATTTTTTAGTTTTAGTTTGTATGTGATGCTGAGGATAGAACCCGGGCCACATGCATGCCAGGGGAGCGTGCTACCGCTTGAGCCACATCCCCAGCCCTCAAACTAGACTTTTTAATGTGTATTATAAAATGTAAAATTCATTTTAAGGTGTGACTTTTTAAAATGTTTTGATTTATCTGAGAATTCATAAGATTTTAAAATGTTAAAATGATCATTAAATTACCAAGTGTAATCTGCAATTTTAGTTTTTATTTTCATAGGACTTGGTCTGAGTCAAAAGAATTAGTGAATTCTTRCATGTATTACTATGTAGCCCTAATAGTGCAAGTTTTTTTCCTCTACTAGGAAAAACAAAGTGCATGATGAAGTCTTCGGACTGTGTCATAAAGCATGCTGGCGTATACAGTACTGGCCTTGCCATGGTGGTAAGCTGCTTGTTTCATCTGACATTRGGTGGTTTCTGAGAATAAGAAAAAGTCATTCTGACCAAGAGTTATTTTTTTCTAAGTATCAGTGCTTTATCTCTTGTTTTGGTCAGTTATATCTCAGGGGTACCTTTCTAATGGGTTTTACTCAGGCTTCACAAATATTATTTACTGTTCTGAAAGGCTTTCTTAGCCAGTGTTCAAGCCTTTGTTTAAATAATTGACCAAGTTCTAAACTAATTTTAGGATAATTTTTAACATTACATTTCAAAAAATGTATATGTTTATTATRTAATRTCTTCTTTGCATATACCATTTTTTAAGGAAATTTATTGTTTTAATTAACAATGGATTGTGTGGTATATTTTGTTCTCTTTTAATAAAACATCTTTTCCTTTTAAATATAAGTTAGTGTATTCCKGTTTTTTCTTTTATGCTTTAGGTTTAATTTCTAGTCTGTGATGAAAGTGATRTTGTTTTTGTGTCAAGAGAAATATTTTATGGTAATTTATAGTTTTTTATGGTAATTCTCCAAAAATAAGTAGTTTTCTACTATGAAGCATACTTTTTTCTTRTCACTTGGTAGTCTGGTCTGTGAGCTTTCTTTCCAGATTCTGGTAACCACTCCTTCCCCTCATTTGTCCATTTAGGTGTTAGAGGTGGTCACTGTATCATCTCTTGATATCTGCCCCCCGAAAGCCTTTCCCTGTTATTTATAAATAATCCCTTGAAAATCTTAATTTATCTAATTTCAGAGTGCATTCTCTTTCTTGTTACAACCCTGACGACTTAAGACATATCTTTAAGGGTTGCAAAACACTATTGATAAGCCATTTTTTTTACAAGTCAACAAGTATTCTTCAGGTTTACTGTTTACTATTTGCT